ACTGTCCATATACATTGTTTGTATACCTGCATCAGTTTAACGTACATCAGCATTACCTATACACACATTGAATCTTCGACGATTTTAATGAATATTCAACTATCTTGATTTCTTTCTAGCTATCGAAGTGTGCGTTTATTCCTTTGTTGTTAATAGAAAGCCTTGTACTTATGACTTAAATCCAGCAATCAAGTACCGAAGAAAAATTAAACAAACCCTTTCAGAACTTTGATAGACCTGTAAGATTACCTCAGGGCAAAAGGGGTTTTTTAGTTGATCAATTTAATGTATTTAAGAGAACGTGCAGTATTGACAGACAAGGCTCTTAGGAAATTCAAGTGTTTTGCTGGACTGCGGTCACCGATCTGTAATACTACACACAAATCAGTGAATAAACGTGATAAAATGATCCAAATTTGGAAAGCCCGCCAACAATTACGTCAAACATTCGTACCTGGAGTCGAATACAGTATACCCTTTTGAGAGAATATGCAAAACTGGACGATAAATCCACAAATAACTATATAATATGAACCTAAAGTATTCTTAAAACTAATCAACATTGACAGATTATCAAAACATTAAAAGCGTGTTTTTTTTTAAGAACGTGAGTATTAGTTATACCGAATGTAAAGTCTCACGATTTTCGTGACTACAGTATGCTGGTTGGAATCCTGCAACAATTATGATACGTACTGTACTTAATTTTTATTAGATTAACTTGCATGAATTATTTTCAAGCTTTTATATATATTATTCTATATATCATACTAATATAATAATCAACTAGATAAAAATAAACCAATTATTTTCACACTAGAATACAGTAAAGCAAATACTTTTGTTCACTTTACAGTATTCCTTCTTGTAAATCATAAGCATTAAGGGAATATAGCAAACCTGTCATAATGTGATGAACATGTGTGCACGAAGTCGAAGGGAAGATGCAGGTGGTAGACCCGGGAAATAACTTGGGATATCCCAACCAAGGATCCACTCTTGATGCCACCACTCCTCAGACGCATTTCGATGCGTCCCTTTGGCAAAGATTTTTTTCAAAAATCTTTTTTTTTTACTTCATTATTCATGTCCTCTGCAATAGTTATTGTAACATAGCAGGTACAATGTTTTGTTTTTGTTTTCTTATGACATTCGCTTCACATAAATATGCAGCTCCGGGTCTGATATCAAGCAAATGAAAGCAAGAGTGACGCAATCTTCAATTTATTTCTTAAGCATCATCTTAAGTTATGAAAAACATAAGAACCAGGCTAGTAAATTATTAAAAAAAAACAATCTAGCTATATGCTAGACTTAATAGAGAAGCCTACGTGTAGATAAAACCCCAGAGACCGACAAAGCTTTCGAGCTAAGGGGATTGCGTCACCTGGAGGGCCTTGACCATGCCCACTCACCCACGACTTAAACTTGCTGCGGTTATTTAAACGGAATCATAGCAGCTTACCAACGGCAAAGTTTCATGTAAAATACTATCTTACATTTGTAAATTATTCGTATAAACACGAGTGAAATACTAATTAGTAATCTTACCCTTACGAAGTACAGTATTAAGATTTACTAATAAATACACTACACAATGCATAAACAAAAATGAAATTTGTAGGTACAGTAGAGTTAGGATGTACAGTAGAGTATTTTACAGATTTTATGAATCTAAGTAAATTATTGTACGGCATAATTCTGCAGATACAATATTTACATCAACATAAAACATTTAATGTTATTCCCATGTCTTCTATATTAAGTCTGGAATATACATATTTTATCCACACTTAAGAATTGGCGGCAAATATGAGCCGTAATAAAATCAAATATAGTACATGAATACATAAAAGTACATCTGTGTATGTAATAAGCACTTATCTATCCAAACATAACCTTACCCAAACCAAATCTAACCTAACCTATCCTATCCTAACTGATTCAAATAAGTTTCCTTTTAACTTTTCCACAAACTAACGCGAGATATTCAACAGACCGCCATTTTAAGCTCTCGAATCTGACAAGGTTAAGCAGAGAATATAACAAGGCGATAAGTAGTAATTCATGATAATTTAATGCTAGACTTTATTTGGTACGTTTGGACACCAGTTTAAATAAGGTTATTGGAATGTTATTATTCATTTGATTTCTTTTAAAGGAAGATTAGGAGCTGTCGAGAGTTATAATTAAGGAAGAAGTAAATTTCAGGACTCGTAGCCTTTGTAGATCGGAACCAAAAAGTTTAACCTGTAAAAAATGGCATGTGTTAACCCTATCCTTTCGTCGTAAACTAGGAATGCAGACTAGGAGGTAAAGTTTTAACGTTTTAGCTCTGTAGTGGCAGTGCGATCTGGGAAGGTTGCGTTACATAATGACCGCTTTCAATCCAGTGTTGTGAAAGGTTTTATGAGTTTCATTGCCGTTCTGAGGTTAATTTGGAATGACATTTTTGCACCAAGTCAACCAGTAAGGTACATTTCTACATTGTCAATTACGAAGATCATTCACCGTGCGAATCTCTATTAAGCTAAAACCATGTGGATATTGATCAAAGTACAAAAAATTAATCAAAGACACACAGCACCTCAAAAAACTCTAGGAAGATGAGCTGGACAAGATATAAGAGGGTGACAAGCTTAAGATTGCACCTTAACTCAGACTGAAACTGGTTTAAGTCCAAATTTATTTTGTGCCAGATATGCTTCTGTGGTGGCTGCATAATTCTTCTGAATGCACAAATGGAATGTAATTAAAATTAAAATAAAATGGCACATTGTTATTGGTGGGAGTGGTGGTCAGAGTGGAAGCATCAGTGGTGGTACTTGTGGGAAAATAAAATAATGGGGCCTGATAGTGGGACAAACAACCGTAAAGATGGTGTTGGGTGTGTTGAAACAGGATATGTACCGCAGAAGCGTCATCAGAAAGGATGCCGGGATGTGACGTCACGCCAAGACGACGTAAACAAATAACCTACTTACAATAATATACATGTTAAAGAACGAAAATGAAGAACCAAGATACTGATCTAAAATGTGAAAACTGCAGTAGATAAACCAATCGGAGGAAACGCCATTAACATAATTAAAGTCATGGGGTAGAGGTCTTGTGGTATGTAATCTGAAATTTCATAATCCTGTGATTATCTTATGGAAATGTAGAGATAAAAGCAATATTCAACATATATGGAACTTGTCATGTGATACTGTATTGTCTTTGCCTTCATATTTCCACAACGGATATATATACTTCAAATAACACACACACAAGACCCTTATCCCAAATAAAAGAACGACGATGTTGATTGAAGCCGTTTCTGTTTTGCTTAGTTTCAGCATACAAAGAGCGCCGCCGAGTAGGTGTAAACTGTATATAACAGACTCACGGAAAAGGAAGTATATACCTTTTAATGTCTAGTTGTAGAGGAATTGTGTATTTACTGGAATACAAACTCCAAAACCTTAGTTGTTGACGTGCAATACACCAATACATCATTACATCAACATCTACTTAATGGTCGTAATAAATACAGTAGGTCGATGTATATTCCGGAAACTACTTTGTAGAGAAAATTATGTATTAACAATATAAATACTGCAGACAAATACAAGCACACAAACCTGCTTCTGTAAAAAAAAAAAAAAATCTTTACGCTAGTTACTCATAAAAGACTTAGAATATTTTAAGTCTGCTTTTACGTTTTAGGGGAATTTAATACAAATTATATCATCGTACTATTTTTTTTTTTTTGCGGGGATTAGCCCACCCGGGCACAGGTCACTGACCCACATCGGGACCCGGGGGGGTAATGTAATAATGATAATTCATAGTAACTAAAATTTATAATAAAAAGTTTAAATAAAATAATGGTAATAATAACACTGAGGATGATAATACAAAGAAATACAGAAATGAAAAAAAAACAAGTGAGAAACACTATACTGTATGTATGTATGTTGTGTTTGTCATGTAAGAAACAATCGAGACCCTACAATTGTGTAAAAGAGGCAGAAGGACAGATCAGCAACCTGGGACTTGGTCACAATTTTCGTGATGCCATATAGCAGCAGGGTCTACCATTAGACAACACATTACGCTTCCAATATCTTCCCAGGCGGTAGTAACCTCCCTGTTTGGTAGCTGCCTACAAGTCGATATCTGTTCAAATCTATAAAGTATTACTGCCCCTCTGTGCAGACCATATCCTAAGCGATATTTTACAATAGCAGTGTACTGTAATGTGGTTTTCACTGCCCAATCTCGCCGCAGTACTGGGTTAAAATATTTAAGACAGCAGACGACACTACCACACCGACATCAGGATTATTTCTAGGTTTGGTCAGGTTACGCCGATTTGCATTTCCTATTTTCATAAATTCTGACTAGACCTCACTAGTTTTTGATTCGGGAAGTCTTATATCTAAACACCGAGTCACCACATGTACAGTACATCAGCAGCATGATATACTGTACAGTATAATGGGCCTGGCCCTAAAGGTCAACCAAATAATTAAATCTCTGCCACGCCTTGCCATAAACAGATGTACTGTACCGTATCGAGAATACTCCCTCCACACTCGTCCGACATAAACCATGGCCCTTCATGCACTAGTTCTTATTGCTGGAGTAAAACATGCAGGAATGTACTCCGTTTGCTTCCCTGTTGGGAAATGTAAACGTTTCCGAACTTTGCCTTTCATAAAATGCAAGGGAGAGGGTCGAACATACTTGCCTCCTCGCTGGCAAGTGCGAGATCTTGCAGAATAGTGGTTCTTCTTGGCGAGGGTCGAGGGTATTAAGAACAGTGTACATACAATGTGTACAGTATGTTAAAACGACTATGCGAAAAATACGAGCTGCAGTGTATACCACTTTCTTGTCCCTCATGGAGTCGGCGTGACATCACAAATAAGTGGCCTGGGTTCATACTGTACAGTACATAGCTAATGAAGATAAATGTACATTCAATATTAAGGAAATCGGTAAAGAAATCACCATTGATAATATATATTTATTTAAACATATCCCCTGCTGTGTTTCCAGCCTTGTCCGAGGGCCAATACATTACTCTGTACTGAAATACCCGCTAATCGAACTCTTATAGCATTTACAGTTCTGTAGTTTTCAAAATACCTAATAAAAATTATAGACGTAAATTCCAAACACGAACAGACGGCGGAGGATAAATAATGGATACTATAGCACGGTGCGTGTTGTGGTGTACAGGCTCGGTGCGTGTTGTGGAGGATCAGACGAATCTGTGAGGGTCGTATGCGAAGGTATGCTGGACTACGTCAGCCTGGAGCCCCGCCTCGTCAGAGTACTGCCACAGGGAAAAACTTTTTAGCCTTTAACATCCACAGCAATTATCATGACGTGATAAAACAATCCTTTCACTATTAAATTTGCATCCAATCATTGCCATAAAATATATCAATGAAAAGATCGAAAGCATCAGGTTTATGCTGTAGGGACGAGAGCCATCCAAGAAAAGCATACCTAGCGTAAAGTATTGATGGTATTATAAGGTTTTTACCGTGCTTGAACATCTAGGTCTCGAGTAGCTAGGTTGATAATTTACTACAACAACTCAGAATTATGAGATACAGCTACATTGTTAGATAATCAATGTCTAAAAGTAAAACTCGATTCAGATGGTAAAATTGTCGCATACCGAGCCTGGACCAATTCCCTGTCCTATAATTAATTAGGAGTCCAAGTACTCTGATGGCATTTTTTTATACCCAAGTTCTACGTACCCTTTACAACCCTCAAATCTCAATTGGATGTAAATATAATACAAAAAACTATTTCAACTAAAGTTCTGTATCTGCCATAAGTTACCAAGTATTGACAACAGTACACCAAATCTACAGAGCATTATCAATTCGTTTTGCATGGGGGATTTCGTCACCGGTTCAGTATGAAATTAAACAAACCAAAGCTTCGCCTCCAAAATCAAGAAAATATCTAAATTTGATAAATATAACACGTTATTCAAAGACCGGTGACGAATTTTACACCCATCTTTTCTATTAATTTATTTACTGCCACAGCACACAACCTACCGTGAGCGGACCATCCTCGCTGAAGGCAAACTTGCACACGTGACGTCTGAAGCAGCGATCGAAGCAGCACTTTTCGTAGCCTTCACAAGACCCGTCCGTTGCACAAAACTGTAAGGATGTCAGATTTAATTACTACTTATAACACAAAACGGATAAAAGCAACGTCAATTTCCACATTTTGGCCGCAAAAACAGTGTAAACTTAAACCAAGAACTATATACAGTTTATATTGCTAATAGGACGACACCAGTTTAGGAACCAAGAGTGCTTTGTGAATTTCCCCCAATTTTGAGGCAAGAGATTAACAGTATGAAAAATCTAGAAAAAACAATTTAAAATATATTTCGGCCACCACATAACTGAAAGTCGGCCAATTAGATGCCTCGACTTTAAAGGGAATATAATATCTAAGTGTTCTAATATTTTGAGTCCGCTTCAGTCATATTGACGCTATTAGTGCCCAAAACATCAACTGAAGCAGCTGGAATGCTTAACCTCAAAATAAATACCCTCACTCAAGAGTTGTACATTTAATTTCATCCGAGTAAATTAGGATGATGAGCATTTGAAGTGGCAACCTTTCTTAAACCGTTCATCAAAGTGCCGAGATATTTGACAATTGTGGTCTTCAAGTAGATTACCTGGTGCCCAAAGTAAATGCTTAAAGTCATACATCATGGCCGTTGCACGGACTTCTCCCCCTATTCCAATACCCAACCTGCACTTTTTTATCGTTTGGCAACTACCTACTGCGGTTTGGGGACAAATGTATCGAAACGGTTTCGAGTTGAAATTATACATCTTTTAGTTAACATATATCGGCTACAAGAGCACCAATATATGTTCAAAGTCTCACTTGTACACCAGCACAGAAGCAAAGGTTACCGTACCTTAGGCAAGTCGGGGAAAGTAACGCCGTTGTAGTCCACACGCGGCAAGTGGTCCTGGAGAGGCTTCCTCGTGATGGGACAGACAGCGCGTGTGGCTGGGCAGTAGCCAGAGTGCTCTGAAATATAGTCTTAATTTACGGTGGGAATACAGAAGTACATTATATTTCTCATGCGAGTGGTATTCCTTTTATGTATATAGTTAAATGTGATGCTTCCCGGGTGGTGAAAGCAACCCCAATGTAACTATTAACGTTAACACAGCATTCAGGTTTGAATTCTTACACCGATGCCGTATTCCCTCATAAAATACTTTAAAGCACCAAATCTACGTCTAATACTATAAATAAGGATCCAATACGGTTATAGTTCTATTGTTCTCATACTGTAGAAGCCAATCTTAAACGAGCTCTAATACTTGTAATACCCGTTTGTCATCAAATTTGTGGTTATATCAGGGAAGGAAATCTTGCACGTGTCCCCAAAGATAATACCAACATCTTTTCAAGGGAAATTATATTAAAGCTTAATTATGAGGAGCCTAGTTTAGTTATTCTCGACAAGTTAACCTCCCCTTTACCATAAATTTTGAGGCACACACGTATAAAGTCTCTTTCAGGAATACTTCACAACGGTGATGCCTTGAGAACATGGGTCCACTGAATCATAATTGCGCCAGCACAGGCAATCGACAACGCCAGGCGTATCCCTCCAGAACTGCTAAATATTATTCCAGACGCACGTTCGCCTGACTTTTGCCAAGTGGGCCTCTTTAATAATAATAATAATTGTTTAGTAAAATAACCATACAAGTTCGTTTGGCATGTATTAAGCTCAACGGGTCACATTACGAATGATATTAAGAATATAATATGACATTGTAAGAGTGCCAAGCAAAGTTCCTACGGGTAACTTTCGAAAAGCATTTAACATTTATATAAAGGTATTCTATCATGGCATTAGGTTGGTCATTACTACAGGGAAGGAGTATCAAGGTGTCTTTACCAGTGGGTTCTGAAAGGACGTCGTCACGACAGCAGTAGAAACGGTTCTCTGGGGTGCGGCACCAGTACTGGCAGTTACTGGCTGGTGCTGGACCTGGAGGTGGTACCAAAGGCACTCGGAACCCAGCAACACACACCATAGCCGCCATTACGATCACCACTATCACACACATCTGTCAAGAAAGGTTTCTTAATGAAATACCGATAATGAACTTCCCACCTGTAAATTAATACTCCCCGAAATTGTGCAACACCAATATTACCACTAAGGGTACAAGGGACCACTTTACTTACAAGTCATATTTTAATAAACAGGGTAGCTGTATCTAGGGCCCCGGGAGTTATGAGATTACCTAGGTACGTATTTTAATTTTCCGGTAAAATTCTTTCACACAACCATGGAAGCTTTAAGAATGTCATATTTGCACTCAATGGTTTATACAATTCTAAGACACCTTTCTTCTACTGTATGACGTTTCACTCGCAAGTGACCTAAAATTATCTAACCTAATCTTACCAACTCGCCTCTTTGGACCCCCTCCGTTATATACAAGTCATTTGCGAGGGAAATGCCAGAAGAAAAGTCTAAATTTTAATTATTGATTGCAAAGTTGAAATACCTAAGATTCCATGGTTGAATAATAGTGAAACAATACCACTTTTTATTTACTGCACTCGAGCACGCTGCTACGGAGGTTCTCAGTAGGCATATGGTTAATATTTCGGAACGACCTTTCCGTAACACAGCAACTGATTAAAATTACATCCGGATTCCACTTCACACTATAGGCGGTGGCTTCCACCCAACCTACACAATACAAGACCATCCACAAAGAATAAAATGGATACTTACTTGTGCCATTGCCTGTACAATCATATTACAGCCTCGTCCAGTTACAACTGATGCACGTCCTTGCTGTTCAAGCACTGAGTGAGGTGTGTCTGTGGTGGTAACTGGTAACGACTGGTGGAACAGGTTCACCGTCCTATATCACTTGAACTCACTTTTGCTGCAATCTTCTAGAGTAGTCAAAGACACTCACCGTCGGAATATAACGGGAACAGCGTTAAATGACAACTTTTGGGCCTCTGGCGCCGCCAAATTGCGCCAATGGCGGGATTCACAAAATAGATGGCGCTGAGGGTAACTACTGTACATGCCTGGTTCAAAGTTTTCTAAATATTTACTTTCTACTGTTGATATTACAAAGTAATTCCAGCATATGTGGCTCCTGCGGTGAAATTATTCCAACAAAAATGAGTGGTAGAATCGTAAACTGGTCAATTTAATTTTGCTTCGCACCAATTGAGTCCTTTGTCTTAAATGAGAAGCGATACATACCTGCATTTCATCCCTGTGGTTCATAAGTAAATTATTTCCTCATAATAAATAAAAACAAGAAAAAAAAATTGCTGAAAGGAATAATCTTAAAATTATTCAATCTCATTTCGAGTTTTAATTACGCACAATGTAGCAGACGCCTTGAGCAAGGAACCCGACAAGACCAAAGTTAGGCCCCAATGATCCCCTCCAAGCTACCCATGTCCTCTACCCCTGGAATGTATAGGGTTAGTTTTAGGTTATTTCTAGTTAACAATAGATTCTTGTTTGTTTACGATTGTTTAAAGTTTCGTCAGTATCGTTAAGGTTGGATGTACCGTACTTAAAGTTAAAGCCCAATCATTAACGGAGCCCTAAATCTGGTCTCAAGAATATCACAGCAAAATAATGGTTCTTGGAATAAAAATATCCTTAACCAACATGATCAGTCTACAGTAAGTACTTTCCTCGAAGTGGACGATTACGTCCGTAATGACGTGGCCAAACTTCGTTATTTTTTATATGTATAATAAACCAGAAAAAGTTTTTAGGGATTGTAAAAAAAAAAGATACGAAACTCTGATGAAATAAATAAGTGTGACCTTGGAAGAATAGATGGCATCACCAGATTTTATCATAATATATGGATCAATCACTCGTTCAATAAAAAGAATTTATCCAATTTATCACGAGATGATACAACAAAACGATAAATAATATCTAGAAGTCATGGTGAAGAAAAAAAAAAAAAGGAAATATCAGTGACGGGTGAGTTGTTTTGTGGAGGCGACGCATCCTTAGATGTGCTGTACTTCCCGGTGAAGGCAGGAAGGAAAGTGCGAGGCCCAGCACTCAGTTACGGCGTGGACAGAACACCAAGACGCAGAATATCAGCCAGATTATATAACATACTATGATAATCGCCCACAATAGACTACTAAAACGTGGGTCAGTGAGAAGGACGCAATAAGTGGTGTTCTGCTGTTTGGAGACGGGACTTACCTTAGGGTCACCGCGTTCTTGCCTGTACGGCACCTCAAACGATCGCTGCATGAGAAGTTCACCGTTTAGATCGCCGCTGACTGCCACAGATGTGTCGGGTTTGTCTTCGTCAATCTGTGCGACAACCGACCAGCCCTGACCCATGATGTCTGGGGCTTCTTCCCCGAGTTCTATCTCCGCCTCTGCCACATTCTCGTCCCTCACTGGGTTACTCTTCCCCGTCAAACACAAACTTATTGACAACAACAAAAAAGTCAAAGTAAACATTTTGAAAAAATTTAGACCTAATGAAGTAAATTTGGTGTGCTAATAATTGTTTTATTTAATTGGTAAAGAGATGCCGTTAGTTGATGGGAGATGAACCGTGAGGTGACAAGGACAATGTAAACACATTCAAGTTAATAACACAGCCTAACTTATATCCAGCAATGGGTTAATTTATAGTAGAGGACATAATTTGATATTGGGTTTCATTTGTTCCAAATTATAAGTTCAAACAAAAACCAGACGATTGTCATCTATGACACTTTTGGCGCATTTTAATCCATAACTGTGGGTGGGGGGAACATGGCGAGCGCATTGAGCCCACCCAGCTGTGGGGGGGGATTTTGGGAGTTGGAATGAGAAAACTACCAGAAAAGCAACATAATATTGCATTTTTTGCTACCAACCAAACCTCCTAACCAGTGGGCTCCGCCTCCCGGGCCCTGGCATATCTCGGTTCCAGGTCGTTTGCGAGTGAAAAGTCATAGAAGAAAAGTGAGAAAGAACATCTAATAGTGTGTGTGTGTGTATATATATATATATATATATATATATATATATATATATATATATATATATATATATATATATATATATATATATATATATATATATATATATATATATATATATTAGCAAAGCTCGTAAATGATGGGAAGGCGAGGTGTAGAGTGATTCATGGGAATGTCACGGTAGTCAGTGAATGGATGGAGTGAAAGGAGAGACTTTTTTCCTCTCGATTCCTGCTGTCACGTTGCTAAGAACGGACTTGCACAAAAGTGATACGGTACCTGTATCTAATATACTATAGGAATAGCCGTGTGTCTGTCTGTTCTGGCCAGCCGAAACGGCACAATCGTTTTTCATCAAACTTGGTGGAAAAATGGCAAAACATTCATAGAGTGGAACAAACCTGGTCCCATATCGATGGCTTCTTTAGGAAGGCATTAATTAACTATTTTATTTACGCTGGAAAACGATGTAACTGTATGCTGTCTGCCGGACGGCAAACCGGGCACGAAGGGCCCACTATCACTTGTGTACACTAGTTGTAATGGGATTCAATAAATCATAAGATTATGCCATATTTTATATTATACTACATTACATTTAGCATTTACGATTTATATTTTTTAAGAAGAACGTGAAGGGAAGGGATAAAGGAAATAGAAAAGTTCTCCTTAGAGAATGAGTTGACACATTTGAGGAAATTCATCCCCCAGTGCAGATGCTTCCAGAGCTTAGCATTAAGCCCCTCTTGACCAACTACAATACCTTGGTGAGAAAGTACGTATACGACTTTCTTTGGTAATCTACCCTTGGTAACAATAAAGCAGCCAAAGTCATCACACAAGACTAATGGTATGGATTTTGACAATACGTACCATGTTGATCCTATGGCAGCCGAAGAGTAAAACGTTAACTTAACCAAAATGGATGCTTATACAGTATCTTTAGGTGAAGAAGATAAATGAAAAGAGACGTGACCGATCGCCCAAGCGGCTAACAAGCCGATCAGTGGCGAAGAGGATAAAAGTATAAAAGTAAAAGGTACACACTTTCAACTATTTTTCAGCAAATTATTTAGTTTACTTGTATAATTTGAACAAAATATTTTTAGGAGTTACAAAATGTACCTTGTTCAATAATTCATATCGATGCTACTTAGTAGAATGTGGTTTCCTCATCATGCATATCTTGCCTTCATAGTTTGAAATTTTCTTTTGAAAATTTAATGCAAAAATGTTTCTTCACTGAGCTACTGTACACAGTATTGTACTGAAGTATGTACAGAATGTTTATTTTGGATTAATTTCAATTGAAATTTAATACAGTAGAACTATTTTTTGTGACTATATTCAGTATTTGTATTTATCTTAACGTGCCATGAGGGGACTGGGATGGTACTTAATTTGACAGTAGTGAGACAAGTCTTCGTTGTTTAGCTTGTTTAGAATTTTCGGTTATCAAATTTGGGTGAAATTTCAAAGTACAGTACACAATAATTTTTATGCCTTAGTCCCCATGTTAAATGTCATATTCATTCAGTTACTGTACTTGGAAGACTTCATAATGGAATTTTGCATGCACCTTTGTCATGATTATGTAAGTGGAGTTTAGTAATTATCATTTACAATAGTATGTATGACCCCTGAAATGGGATGGAGAATGGATGGGGTCAAATATCTGACATACTGTACTTCTACACTCACTTGAATTGCAGTTACGTTATTTCCATGTTGGTCCAGGGATTTGAGGGATTCTGAGTTAAAAATTGTCACATTTAGTTGAACTTCAGTCCTTTTGGGTTGTTGTAAAATTTGGTATAACATCCCATCTTATTCTTTTTTTACTTTTATCCTCTTCGCCACTGATTGGCTCGTTAGCCGCTTGGGCGATTGGTCACGCCCATGTATTTAAACTGGTAATCTTGCTGGGCATCAGTTTTTCATCCCCAATGGATCAAGTGGTTTTATGACACCTGGTAACTGGATAGTGATGGTTCTGGAGGGAGTCTACCTTTATCTCGCTACAGTACAGTATTAAGTTTTCTCATTAATTAGATTGTATCAGTGAGGGTATTTGGGTTGGTCTTGTCAATGCTGTGGAATGTTCATCCTCATAATTCTAGAATCAACTTGTACGATTGGTGTAGGGAAGATTTAACTAAAGACACAGGTAGTGGATAATTATTTATCTTTCATCCACATTGTTTTTACTATTAGAAAAACACTGCTTGTTCCTATTAGACAGTGAAGGGGGAGGGAATGATATGGATGACGTTTGTTCTCTTGGCGCTTCCAAGTTTGTACTCGAGGAGCATTTGGTACTTTTATTATTTGGCTCGTCTCTTTCAAGATGGAATATGCAGCCTTCTCCCTTTTGGAGGTAACATTTGTATTCAGTCTACATATTTAAGGAAATGCAGTAATACTAAATGTGTCTGGGAAGGATTGGCAACGACATCTCAAGAATTTCTAATAAGACTTGAATATCAATACTAAATTACAAAGAATGAAGTTATGATTGTGACTATAACATTTGAAAAATACACTGCCAAACTGCCTTGAGCCATCCAAGGTAAGACTTTAAAGACAACAAGGCTCTAGTCTTGGTGTACTTTAGACACCAAGGCTATATACAGTAGTCTTGGTATACAGTAGTTTGAAAAGATATCAAGTCCATCACATTTACTGACACAATGCACATAAGAATACAAATACCCTTTCACCCTTCTACGAAGCTCTACCTCATTAAGCTTAACACCAGTAACAGGGTTTAACAAAATTTTTGTGATGATCTTTTATTACACATCTACTGTATATCAGCCTCTAAATAAATATTTTATCTATAACATAACTACAGTATAATTATGATTTCATCCTACCAGTAGTGGATTTGGGACGGGAACATTACCAACGTGGACGGAACTGGGACAGTGTACAGTATTAAAGAGTTGTGCAATGGCATAATTATTTTACAAGGTATCTATACAATATAATTACTTTTAAGTTGTATGGTATCTACATCATATAAACATTAAGGCTAAAATATTCATCTAATTTTGTGAATTAGAATTTCTGGTCATTTACAGAATATTCATGGATACTGCTTCTAAATGTCAACAGTTCCAAGGCTTGGAACAGCTCTGAAGCATGTGCCATTTGGCCTACACCACTCAATAGTGAACATGTATTCACTATCAAGGGAATTGTTTAAGAATTGTCACATACAATATTACTGCTCCTAACCACTGAATTCATCCCGTATCACTGATGTCTTTCACAGATGCAGGTGGAACAAATCACCATGAACCACTCGTTTAAACTCAAATGCCCGTGTAATGCTTAATCACAAATCAATGACATATTGCACAGATGCAATTGGAATGATCTATCAGGGGTCATTGCTGTTTTTCACAAATTCAGGTGAAATGCATGACCATGAACAACTGATGTAAGTTATGGATGCAAGTGAGTGAAATTTGATTACCTATTCTATATGATTCTGAGCTAATCCATCTGTAACTGTGATTACATCAAAGTTCAGTGTTCACCAAATTCCTACACAGCACTAACAAAAGGAGTCAAGAACCAGCCTTTTAATAATTCCTTCTTAAAGTGCTAAAATTTTTTAAATATATATATATATATATATATATATATATATATATATATATATATATATATATATATATATATCCTTAAAATTACATCATATTTTCAAGACAAATTAATGACTTGCAACAAATAGTTTACATAATTCTTTGTTTGACTATGACATTTAGGAAGACTCCTTACATAAATACAGAGCCACACATTCCTTCTTCATATAAAAGACAATGGAAAATGTCAACTGGTGCTGCATGTAGTTAAATATCTGGTTTTATTTGATTGCAAACCTTCTTTTTTCATAAGAAATAATATGGGATCTGCATCACTTCCTTTGCTATTTTTAACACTCAAATTGTTATATTCTAAATATAACTTGTATTGAATGACGAGGTATTTTTTTATAAAACAATCATCAGTCTTAAAAAGGAGTAACTCGCTATGTTTTCATAATCAAGCAATGAATCTCTACCGCATAAGTCAAATTTAATAAATCCAATAAATTTTCGCCAAAATATAAAGAAAAGGAAGCATTGTATAATTGTCAAACACATTTTTTTTCATGTTAGTTCTAGTGTTTGATAAAATATATATACAGGCGTACTGTATATGTTATGTAATGGATTCACAAGCCGTTCCCCAACCTAAAGCATGATATATTAATCCATTAGTTCTGGGAAAATACTAAGCTATCCCATTCTGATTAATTTTTTGTGTATACATGTACAATAATGTATTCAAGATTTTATAACACCTTTAAATTGCAGAATAAATAAAGAAAATTACATGTACAGGTATTAAATTTATGGTGAAATTTTATCAAAAAATAAGCTGATGAATTAATCTTTATGAATTACCCTAAATACAAAAGCAGTGTAGAAAACGTGTTCCTTTCACATTCAAGGAAATGCTATAATTCTTAGACTTGGTTTGCATTATTATTAAGATTTATAACTACTGTACGATTAATATACACAGTACAGTACAGTATTTCTGTTAAGTCTTTCTTGGCCAATGTTGCATTCCATTACTTAAGTTTCCAGAGTGGGTTGCATAACAACAACGAAGGCCCCATGATTAGAGAATCAATATTTTGTCCCAAATTGGGATATTTTGTAATATTTGTGACAGCCTGTTTTACCTGAACACAGGGAAGAAGTACAGGTATATCACATCAAAGTATAACAATAACACATTACTTCGGTTGCACCTGAATACTTTTGCGCTGCAACCAAAGAATTTGTTCTTTTTGTCATTTGTCTACAAAGATCAAAAACATGTTTTTTTCCTCCATAATCCCCCCTCATGAATGCCTGCATTCATTTTCACCTCACTGTCACTGACATAACCTTCTCTTATATATTGTACGGACAGTACATACATTTTTTGCCCAAAGAAAGTGTTTTTCCTGTAATGGATTACATAAACTAATTACATACAGTACAACTGAAACAAGGTAAAGATTATCATGTACTATACATAAACTCAATGTTTATATCACTTCCAAAAAGCCTAAGCAATTGTTCTCTTTCATGTGAGAAAGTAGGAATCTTAACACAGTAGCATACAATTTGTGAAACAGCTTTTTTACAATTTAATCATACCTGTTTTTCCTTGTAATAAAAACCTGTTATTATAATAAGTGGAGAATCTGACAAAAACAAAATACCTGTCATCGTTGCATCTACTGCTGTCAAAAATATTATAACAAAACTAATTGAAATGTTGAATAAATTTGCTGTTTTGCACAATTGTGTAGTGAAGCAGCTAACACCAAGAGATTAGACAGTTCTAAAGGAACGAGTGTGCAACATATTCTTAACCTTAAGATGCGTAAGAGAGATGTAACTGACCGCCCAAGTGGCTAACGAGCTGATCAGTGTTGAAATAGATAAAAGTAAAAATGCAAATATACTGTACTGGCCTTGAAACACATTACAACAATATTCAAAGTACAGCATATGTGAAGCAACTAAAGGTCCTTATCTTTGAAATTGTTCCTAAAAGAAAATGAAAGACAAGTTTTCTAAAATGAACAAATTAAGAATGATATTTTTCAATTCCAAAATGATCAAGTGGAATGCTACTGGTTTTAATACTTTATGTTTTTCACTTACAATAACAATGACTCTTATATACTGTATATTAGATTAAAAAAAAAAAAAACCTAACCAAATTACATAAACATCAACCCTGGTTTCAATACAACACTTAATGTATTATATCCATGTGTGTGAACCTATTTTGAAGGAAGAGGAATGACAGTTATCATGAAAATGCTGCTGTTGCTCACTGGTGTACAAATAAGCTCCTGTTTACACTACACAACTAAGAAGGGGAAAAGAATAAAAAGAATGAGATTTTCTTAAAATATACCATGGAAATATGGATGGCACATATCACAGACTCAAAAAGTTGTTACTTGAATATAAAATTTTTATGACTAACATGCAATTTAACTTTATGACATATACTAATGCAAAGCTGCATACATACATAATAGAGTAACAATATAATGTCAAACACTCTTGTAAAACTCACAAGAAATTGAAGATGTACTGTATGTACTGTATATAGTATTCAGGAAAACTTGTTTCCCTAAGAAACTTGAACAAAATACCTGTAGCTGGATATATATCTATACTGTATATACACAGGTACAGTATCTGTCGTTTAGTGAAATGAAAACTAAGTGAATGGAAACAAGAAATAATATCCACGGAGATGGCACGTAATTGTTTAGCCGAGTTGCCGACTGGCCAACTCGCCATCCAGTAGCATTCAAGAGTGGGTACGGCTGAGCTGTGAGTTATGTTATTGTTCAACTTATAATTTTGGGTAGATATACGTAATTTTCTTCATTTTCTTTTACTCCTTTACATGTACTGTACATACAATGATTAATACAGACCTTCACTTCCCACACATACAGGACACAGCCATGCTCTTCACATTCTATAATTTTATAGTACAGTACAATGTAGTATAATAAAAAACTAGAAATAGAAATTCTGTACTGTACTATACCGTACTGCATAGAATACAGTAGTACAGTATACAGTAGTATTTTTTTTATTTTCCCAACGGGATGAAGTAACTGCACTATTTGAGACTGAATGTGAGAAGGACCTAGGTGTGTATGTTGACATCTGAAGTTCTCGGGCCATTGCGAGAAGGTAAATCAGGCAAATAAATTAGTTGGTCTTATAAGAAGGTCGTTCAGATATCTAGAAGGTCCGTCCCTCATAACAATCTTCAAGAGTGAAGTGCTTCCCCATTTGGAGTACTGTCACCCCATCTGGTCCCCGAAATATGCTAGGGACTGTCAGTTGGTTGAAAATGTTCAAAGGAGGGCCACCAGACTGGTGCCTGCACTTCGGCACCTCAGCTACCCCGAGAGATTGGAGCGCCTGAACTTTCCTAGCTTATACTACAGACGGGCAAGGGGTGACATAATTGAGGTGTATAAGCATCTCAAGGGACACTACTCAGTCGAGTGTCCTTACTTGGAGCTGGCGGAAACTCGGCCCACAAGGGGTCACAGCTCAAGATTGAAGAAGCCGCAAGTCCAGAAAACTGTGAGGGCAAACTTTTTCGGAGTGAGAGTTGTGAACTCTTGGAACAATCTACCAGAAAGTGTTGTGATGGCATTGAGTGTCAGCTCTTTCAAGACAAGACTTGACCAACACTGGAGAAGGTTCAGGTACATTCAAGAGCCGGTGCATGCCCAGTACTTGCCAACAGTGCGTAACAGAGACGTAACCGATCGCCCAAACGGCTAACGAGCAGATCAGTGGTGAAGAGAATAAAAGAAAAGGAAAATTAACAGAGACGTGACTGATCACCCAAGCGGCTAACGAGCCGATTAGTGGTGAAGAGGATAAAAGTAAAAGTAAAAAACGTAAGCCACATTACAGTAATGTAATGATGCTCACTTGGAACACAGAATCCCCAATTTTTCTGATTTCCCTCTCAAAATTTTCTCAGTGAGTTGAAGATCGCTAACTGAAAATTACAGATCGTTAAGCAAAAAAGGGTGTTATAATTTGTAAATCGATATGTAAACCATCACTAAACGATGGATACCTGTGTATATATTTATACAGTATAAATTATCAGTTAAAAGGTAACAACAGAAAACAGCCACATGAAAGAGGTATAATTTCAATATACTGTAGTACTGTTTTATTATGGGTTTAAGCTTCGAGCCAAAAATAATCTTGATTACATAGTCTTTGGATTAAATACACCTTACTCCTAGTTTAATGGTTAATATGTACTGTACGAGGCACTATAATTCAATTTGCTCATTATGTAAAACCAGTGTTAACGATTTACAGTATCTCTATTCTTGAAGCAAAATATGCAAAATCTGTCTCAAAAGTTAAGTGTTTTCTGCATTCATGAACAAACTTTTTTTATTGGTTCAGTTTCACTCCTAAGTCATTTTCTTCTGAATTCACCCATTTACTGTATCTTCTATATTTTCCCCTCAATCAAATTAAGTTTTTCTCCTTTGAATAATTTGTCTCTGTCCCTTTCTCTTCAGGTCTTTCCCATAAAAGATTATATAAAACAATTACAACAATAAACTGTTGCTATTATGAGGTGGTATGCCACATCTGTTCCTCACTGTACACGAGCATCCCATCCTCTCATTCCTCACAGTAGGCTCTCATTTGATATACTGTGTGGGGAATAAAGTTCTGAATATAGCTCTTAATAATGTTACCATGTTCACATTGTCCGGGTGTAACGGGAACCGGTACCATACTTGGAACGGGCAGATTCATGAATAGTACGACCCTGTAAAAAAAGAGAACACTGAAGTACTTTCAATAAGCTCCACACCCAAACTGTGTTTAATTAACTCCTTCAGTATAGGGACACCACTCTTAATATTTTTTTGGGGGATAATGCCAAATGATTTTATTCAGCAGAGAGAGGACCCTGTACACAAGGGGTTAATAACCCAGGTGAAACCAGACAACTCGGCTAGCCTTTTATCAGGCACTCTGTAGGAGGAAACACTAGATGATAATCATAACTATTATCTGAAGGCTTTATGATCATGATTCCTTACACTACAGTATAAGCATTAACAAGAACTCTTGCTATATTCTTCCTTACCTCACTCGTCAAATTATCCAGGAATTTCTGTATGTTTTGGATTTCATTGGATGATACATACTTCTTCAGAGCAGCATCAAACTGTCCTTGTTGGATCAACAACTGGAAGATCTGCTTTGCATATTGCCTGTTTTTTGAGAGAAATACTTGTTAGCAAAAAAAAAAAAAAATGACAGAGTATGGCATATAAAAAAACAAAAAAAAAACAATGGGCTTTACCTGAGTTAAGAAACTTGAGGAAAAGGTTACATCACTTCTTCACATATTATATGAAGGCTGACCACACACAGCAAGATGGTGGCCAGTATATAACTATAGTACAGGTACTGTATATCCAAAATGAGAAATTACAGTAAGATACAATTTTAGAAAATGTAAAAAATGAAGACATAAAGAAAATACTGTACAGAAATGGATAATAAATGGAAAAGTATTAAATAATTGAAAGGTTTACAATAAAGAACTCCTGTATTTTGACCTAAAGATACATTAGGGGGGCTACAGTACCTTCCTGGCTTGTAAAATATTATGTCATCAAACTATGAAGGTTTCTCCTAACTTGTAATTTTGCCCATGACCATTAAAGCTACTTCCTCATCTATATAATTGTTCAAAAGACTGTACTGTACTGTAGCACATATTTACTCTTCTCCAAACATTTCTCCTCTTCTGAAGATTTTCACTTCTCTAACACTCTGGACCATGGATGACACATATTGGGTCACCCAAAAAAGTGAAGCTAACATATGATGATGCCTTTGTGTACAAATCTTTGAAAATCCACCCAAAATCCATTTTTGGGTAATCAGTGCCTGGTTTGCTTTTAAACACTTGACAACCTTCTAAAGTGAGTACAAATAAAATTCTGCAAAAAATTAGCCATTTTATATAAAGCAAAAGTAAAATTTTTTAAATAAACTTAAAATACACTACAGTACTGTATCTTTATATGCAAGCAACAGTTCAGTATTTTATAAACTGCACAAGCGGCTAAAGAGCCGATCAGTGACGAAGAGGATAAAATGGTGATTTTACCATTATTGTATACAGTACTGCATTGTATTTGCCATTTTGTGTCTAATTTTATAAAGTAAATGGGCACCAATATTTATCATAATCATAAACAAAGCTTGTTTTCAGTAATTTCTAAAGACACAAGTAAAGAAAATCTGTTAATTAGAGACAAACTCCCTAAGGAACTCACAAATAATATACATAGAGTACAGTAAAAGAGTTATCAGTTCCTTATATAGCTGGACAACATCTCGTTAAGTTCTCATACCTAGTCTCTAAGCTGCCCTCCTGCGCCAGTTTGGCAGCAGCTGGTAAAATACGTTCAGTTATATCCTTCTGCCCCGATAGTACTCGACCTGGCCCTAGTCTCTCCACCTCGTATGCCAACAGTCGAGCAAGAGTTGTTCGTACTGCAGCATTCTTGTGACTGGAGAGGAGATAAAACAGTTAAACAGTTTAAAATAATTTACTGAATTCATGCTAACTTTATTATTTGACCATGGGGTTATACACAGATTATTTGGAGAAATAATACCTGTACCAATTTGCCAAACATTTAAACTGTTTGGTTTGTAAATTATATATACAGCACTGTATTGGCTGACTAAATAACAATGCTAAGTTATATACAGTACTGTACAGGCTAATGATAAATTTATCTGGCTAAAAACTATCTGTAAATGTTTCAAGCACAAACTACTATACACAACTACATTCATTTAAAGACGACCATTAATTATATATTATATCTAACAGGCTTGTTTTCCTTCACACTTATTGGCAACTGACCTAGTAATAATTAAGTTCCAATATTATTAACTGTGGAGACAAAAGAACTTGTCATAATCCTTGAAACCAAGTGAAAATTATAACACAATTTGCCATTCTATTCTCCAATGTAAAAATCAGAGAAATACAGTCATCATCAAGGTACGCTCATCGTTTATTAAACATGGAATACTAGTTACCTGAGCCCTTCTTGAATGATGGCTGGAATAGACTTCGAAGGTGAGATATTTTCCACGAGAGCATCCAGAGCATGATGGCTGTCCAACTGTAGGAACTTGTTGGTGTCTGCTGACCGGTGCAACAGCACACTAACAATCTTCTCTGAGTCCTGTTTAGGAATAAATTTTTTTTTTACTGCCAAGCACTTTTGCACTATAATTCCAAGTGACCAGAATCAGGAGCAAACATCCTCACCCTGACCCTCCCTTCATTCACATTCTTAATCCTGTACTGTATACAGCACAGTACTGTATGTATTTATAAATTAAACAATATAAGGATTGCATAATTCTGAATGGGAAAAGGTTCTTGGTGGAGTACCACAAGGATTTGTGATCTACATTAATAACACTGATAAATATATATTAAGCCACTTTGTCAAGTATGTTGACAACATGAAGATATTTGTAAAGGGGGAAAGTCAAGATGATGCTGCAGCCATTCAATAAGATCTGCATAAGCTGTTCAAAGGGTCACAAGACTAGCAAATGTTTTTTACTATTACAAAATGTAAGACCCTACATGTAGGATACAACAACCTTAATGATAACTATTCTCTTAACACTTTCCTCAATACAACTGTTTACTCTGTATAAGGAAAAAGATCTAAGCATTGCAACAGACAAGTCACTGAAGGCAACAGCAGTGTTGAGTTGATCCTAATAACTTACAGATTCCATGCTCCTCTTCATAGTATCGAAGAGACGTGTAAATGCTTGGATGGCAGCACGAGAAACTTGGGAGCGGAGATTCTTGGCTTGCTTCAGAAGTTCTAAATTGATCATATGCAAGTTAGACTGGAGGACCTCAGGATGGTGTTCATTCAATCTCACCAACAAATCAATCCCATCAACCTGGTTCTCCCTGCAGCACAACAACACATGTGATGAAGGATATTTTGTCTATGATAACTATATAACTACTGTACTGTACTGTACAGAGAGACTAGAGTGACTGAAAATAAAAATGTCTTAAATTCTCGTAGTATCAGCACAACCCTGGCTAAAGGTTATCTTGGTGAGTGAGAGAGTGACATTCAGGAGTATTAATCACTTAGCTAACTGCTTCGCTTCAAAAATATCTATCAATTATCAACCAGAAACCAAATTCAAATATTTCTTAGCATGACAAGGAGAAATGTCAATTTTTCTATAGTGACACGTATTAGCCCTTGGTGGATGCAAAATATGATTTTTCTTAAACAATATGGACTACAAAAAGATGTATAACACATACCCGGTATACAGTACTGTAGTGTAGTATTGTAATAACAAAATTATTTTAAAGTAATGCTATGGTCTTTCTCATACAAATTTGTCTACCATTCTGATATTTAATTCTGAACAAAGTACTGTTCATAAATACCATATGTATTATACCAAATGAACTAATTTCATTACTCACCAGTCCCCTGAACTGAGCTGCTGATGAGCTTTTTTCAAGGCATCACCGGGATGAGCAAAAGGCTCAAGATGCGCCTTAAAGCACGAAGAGGCTGGCTTTGAGGTCCGCAGCCCAACAGATATCATGGGGGATGAAATGTGATCTGAAGATCTGCAGAGTACATACCTTAATTACTCTTACTGCCTTCAGAGTGGCAAACAACATGAAAATAGCGAAGGTGCTATATTAAAAGCAGATACTATACATTAAAAGTTGCCAACAATACATTATCCTTGAATCTCAATTCCCAGTACTGTACTGTATTTCTGTTGCTGTCAGCTATATTGTACACTGTATCTAGGTTCTTGAAAATATATAAGACTAAATGATAATTCAATAAGTTTTCAATCAATAGAGGAGTACAGTATATATTACCACAATTAAGCTAAAAATCATTCCACTACCTCACAATACCTGTAGTTAAATAATAATGATCATGACCAGCAGAAAAGTGTGCAATGCCATTTAACATTACATTATCATTTATAGATAAGACTGGTCCATAACTTAACGTTCTGCACAGGTACGAATATCCGGTAAATAAATCAATCTGGAAAACCATAACACAACACACACGGTGAATAATGGGTAACTCACCAACCACAACGAATGAAGAGTACTAAAAGGTATCACACCAAGCATGATGAATGAATAAAGGGCGCCACTCTAAGCATAGTGAAGAGTACCACACCAAGCATGACGAATGAAGAGTACAATATGATAAGTCGCGGGTACTGTACCATACCCTCATGGCTGATGAACAGAAGAATGTGCATGCTGATGTGATACAAGAAGAAATCAAATACCATTATGCAATGCAGGTACTGTACTGTCAGCTACAAGATGCTCACTCACACACAGACACAGCATTTACCATGACTGTCCTTTTTGTCCTTACCGGTATATCAACTAAAAAAAACTTGCATCAATTTGTTTTTTAATCCTACACTGACACTTATGACTAAAAACAATACAGTATTAATATCCACAAACACACAACAATGTACAAGTACTTGTAATGCAACCAATAGACTCTTGCTGCCTTTTAATAACCACAAGTAAATATGACTCCCATGTAAACTTTTACTGGTCCAGCTTGTGCTGTATGCTGGTGACTTGTCTTTAATATTTCAAAGCATGGGGATCACATAATTATCTACTGTGTGAATATACTGTTTATATATTAAACATTTCCAACCAAAACCAAAAATACCTCCATAAACAATGATGGAATTATTCATAATCTGGACCACATATTAATTCTTTTCATGTACAGTATATATATACAGTATATATATATATATATATATATATATATATATATATATATATATATATATATATATATATATATATATATATATATATATATATATATATATATATATATATATATAGGGGAAAACCAAAGCAGTTTTTCATAGTTCTGTAACTTAACTATTCCTTTAAAAACTTGGTAACACATACCATCTCCTACAGGCATGAAATGTGCTGAAACTTCACACATTTTCTTTTCCTTTAAATATCATGCAAAACCACACTGGCAAGATACATGTCTGCTCAGGAGAAAACACTACAAACTGTAAGCCATAACTAGCCTGGACTCTGCACTCAATTGAGGAGCTAAATGATGTTTGAGCTGAGGTCGCTGCTGTCCTACAGCTACTGGGCTGGATTTGTCAGGAGGCGTAAAATTTCGCACTTTCTCTTGCCGTAGCCTTGGTTGGCCAGGGCTTGGATTACTTGACACCTCCACACGCTTTGAGTTTCTTTTGGTGTTCATTAAATACATGAATGAACATGAGAGACAATACATGGTATCAGTATAAAAAAGTAGAAAGTATGACCGTATATACTCAATGTTACTCTACTGTAGATTAACTGACCTCGAAAATAGTGGGAGCATTTTTTTTAATACAGTGAATAACTTTAACTTGATGGATGAAGAGGGTAAACACTCAATGCCTCCTTCTGGTGGTGACGGGTATAAAAATGACTTTCAGCAGTTTTGTGTACCACTGTGGGGTTCCAATCACAAAATAAACATACGTACACAATAACTGAAGCTTGTGGACAAATACTAAAGAAACTTGACTCCTTGAACAGTAAATGGTAAATACAGATGAATGATAATTTAGTAAATATTCTAAAAATCAATTTAACTGGTGGTGAAATAATACATATTGAAACATTAAAGGAGGAACACAAAGGAGACAAAATAAGTCATATTCTCATTTCTACATCACATTAATTTGTATGACATTTACCATTTTTCGTCCTAATGGCAGCTGTCACTTGTAACCCCGTGGTCTTAAATATTCTGTATCTATCTACAATACCTTGTATCCTACCATCGGCCATTAACATGTTCAACCCCAACTTTAACAACCACCATACAGCACTATCATGACAATCACAAGCTTATACTCAACCCTTTCCAATAACTATCCATGTTTTAGGCTTCAACCCCATTGACAGTACAGTATTTGTAATTTCCGAGATTCAATTTAGCTTTTTTTTATCACCTATTATGACTCACAGGGAATACGGAAGATCTTTCCTTTCAAAAGTCAAACATACGCCTGGCTATACCTATAACATACACTACCACCCTGTCATTCCTGTGTCATGGGAATATATTAGCTGTGTGTAAAAATATTAAAGGCTCCTAAGTGTACAGTACAGTATATGAGTGGAGTAGTTTTATGCAATCTAGTAACTCAAAAGGTTTAAGAATGACCTGTGGAAAGTTAGTACCACAGTATGTAAAACATAAAGTTGGCTTTTATGTTCTTCTTCAAATCTAATTAAACTGCAGTATCATTAATTCATATTACTGTAAAGGCATATGGTGTTAAATTACAGTATTATGAATATATTGAACTGTAGACTGTTTAATCCTCTAAACAACAGTCAAACTCTAAGCATTGATATTCTTAAATGAGTAAATAAAACAAGTAATGATCAACACCCACTTCTCTGGGAGACGTCTTTGGTGGCGTCTTGTAAAGGAGGTGGTGCCACCGCTACTGCCTAGGCTGTTGCTGAGGTTATTGCCTGAGCTGCCACCAGCAGGAGGTTGTCCTCGTTTTACTAGTTGAGGCGTCCTGCATAAACAGTGCACATGTGACCATAACATTAATATTCTCAAAATAAGCCTTCATACCTGCCTACTTGGAGCTCCTAAGGAATGTAAGTGAAAAAGGTTTAGAATGTTTTCACAATAAGTGTGATCAATGGAATACAAGTTCTGAATACAGTTTAACAATAAATTTCATTACAAGTCTTCACTCTATACAATATTACATATTTTAATGTTTTATATTAAAAAAAGTTTATACAATACTGTACTGTACTGTACAGGTAGTTCTCACTATGTGCAGACACCAATGACTGTAAAATTATTGAGAATATCCAAAGTAGGGTCACCAAATTATGTTGGCATGTAGACACCTCACTCAGCTAGTGAGATTTGAAGGTCTTCAGTTCCTTGATTGTTTTGGTTGTGTAAATTTCAAATTACTGTACGTGCTACTCCTGTGGCACATATCCCATTTATAAAGTGCACTGCCCCTAAGCACCAAAATCAGATAGGCAATGTAACTGATACTTGTATTTTTAACAATTAATCATACACCACCTACGAAAAGCTACTAGGTGGACAATGAAGTATGTTTACAGTACATCTGACAGTTGATGTCATACCTGAAGGTCTCCCTAGTGTGAGCAGCATTAGTATGTGGGTCATGCCTCTCCAGAGAACGGTGACGCTTCTCCGTACTAACACCGCCTCGACCTACACTCTTGCTGAAGTTACTATTGTGACTCTTGCTCTTGGGTATCGTTTGTTGAACTGGAGGGTTAGGAGAAGGGCTGGGCCGGGGACTTGGACGAGGACTGGGCTTGATGTTGCTTTGTGAATTGGGGTGCGGAATAGATGTAGGATTTCGACCCCTATAACTTAAGTTGGGGCGAACAGCTGTGAAAATATGAACTTACTTAGAACAACAAAATATTCTGTGTACCTGTATAGCAAATATCCAGACTAGGAAATGCTGAAAATTATTTCATTATTTCAAATAAGGAAACAAACAAGCTCTTGGCTAAACACCCACAAAAGTGGGTAAAGATTCAACATGCTGAACTATCAGAATCCTAATTCTTTTTTCCATTCGATACAATCTTCACATCAGTTGCAAAAGTATAATAACCAACATAGACAAGAACAAATAAGGGTATGTTTAGGCAACAAATATTTGGTTTAGTACTGTACACCTTAGTATAAAAGTGTGGTCATCCAAGATTATGTAATATTGTACCATAACGAACCTAAAAAACAACCAATTATGTTCATTGAATTCCAGTTGGTTATGTAAAGTTAGATCTCCACTGGCTCTCCTGGTCAACCTTATATTGTACTGTACTGGGGTCATGGCTAGACTAACGGCAGACTGGTATGCAACATTAAGTTAATAAGCTGGACTGTTGGGCTAGACTCAGTAACTTATCATCAGCCTCACCTAGTAACCCACCATAAGCTTAGCATCATATAAGTCAAGTTAATCAAGTTACTCTGTGTCTAGCCCAACAGTGAGGTTTTGTTCTTGTTAAGTACTGTAAGAAATGGGTAGAACTGTCAGGCAATTAGGAGGCATTTGTCCCTACTGACCCATATATATTCTACGTATTCCCTTACATAATAAATGGGCACACAAACGTACGTACATGTAAATATCTCACACTCAGGAATGAGGTAGAATAGAAACTCATTGATTGTCGGGCCGTTTATCCTGCCACATGATCATTTAATTAATAATTTATTCGCCTGAAAATCCATAATCGACCCTACAACAACTGGTATGGTTACCGGGACGTATTCACTCTACATTATTTGCTGTATTACTGCAAGTATTTCTAATAACATTCATTATATATGTCTAATCATTATCCTCAAATGCAAGTGACAATAATTTCATAGAGGTCTGATGAATAAAAGGCAACATATATTAATCAAAATTGATAATTTCAGATAGTCAATTACAGCATCAAAATCTTTAGCGATGTTTGTCTAATGATCTGGGTAGGTCATACAGCCGTGCATAATGCATCGAGTTAAATACCTGTGACGTAATGATGTTATTCTTACTATTATTATTGATGATAGGGAGTAACTCATTTATTTTACTCTGTAATTTAATGGTACGTATATGCAATTGATTCTCAGAAATAAGCCTTGCATCAGAACAGGAAAAAGACTACCCTAGCCATAGCCTACCAAGGTTAGATTCACTACTGCTGGCTCTGGAAGGCTGGAGGGAGTCCTGACTATGTTGTAGCTCCAGTTGGCGGTATTTCCTGGCTCTTTCCTCTTGCGTTCTCTTGTTGTCCCGCTCCTGACGGCGACGTTCGATCTCTTTAAGGTTTTCCCGCTTCTTCTTCAGTAGTTTCATCTTTGTCAGCGTCGTGTTCGCCAGCGTGATGTTGTTGGGATCCTGACCAAGTGTGAAAACTTTTGAATTTTCTTTGATCACTTATTAAGTCACGCACAACAAATTATATACCATAATACAGTTGTAACTATAATCAGTATGGTCATTATTATTACTAGTAGTAATTTACTACCTTCAATTAAGAGGAAAAAGCATGGTTATGAGGTTCCCTATACTGTATATAATAGAAGGAAAGGCTCTATACAAGCAGATAAAACAACCAATCACCTCCTCGTCAGTCTCAAAGTCACTCTCATAGTCAAAGTGACGGAATTCTTTCTCGCTCCCTGGTGTGTTGCGCGACCTGTTGACCATACCTCCTCCCACGTCTGAAATACAATATGTACCTGTTATTATACTGTCCTACACCTGCAACACATCACCTTTTAGTGTACTGTCCCACACCTGCAACACATCACCTTTTAGTGTACTGTCCCATACCTGCAACACATCACCTTTTAGTGTACTGTCCCATACCTGCAACACATCACCTTTTAGTGTACTGTCCCACACCTGCAACACATCACCTTTTAGTGTACTGTCCCACACCTGCAACACATCACCTTTTAGTGTACTGTCCCACACCTGCAACACATCACCTTTTAGTGTACTGTTCCACACCTGCAACACATCGCCTTTTAGTGTACTGTCCCACACCTGCAACACATCACCTTTTAGTGTATTGTCACACACCCTTTAGCGTACTCTCCCACACCTGCTATACATCACCCTTTAGTGTATTCTCCCACACCTGCAACAAATGTTAGTATATTGTACTGTACAGTACTCATCAGCAACCATAACACAACTATTCCAGAAAACTGTGAGGGTAAACTTTGTCTGAGTGAGAGTTGTAAACTCTTGGAACAATCTACCAGAAAGTGTTGTGACGGCACCGAGTGTGAGCTCTTTCAAGACAAGACTTGACCAACACTGGAGCGGGTTCAGGTACATTCAGGAGCCGGTGCATGCCCAGTACTTGCCAACAGTGCGTGTGAGACGTGACCGATCGCCCGGGCGGCTAACGAGCCGATCAGTGGCGAAGAGGATAAAGGGAAAAAAGGATTAACAATCGAAGCTGCGAAGATCCATCCAATTGGCCCCTTTCAGCAACAACACAAGACAGATGACTAAAATAGTTGTTGAAACTGCCATGGGAGTATAATTACTGGACATTCACCTATCCTCAGTTTGGGGGAGGAACGAAACTCCCAAATTCCAATACACCACACCAGGATCTAACCAAGTCCGGGGTCTTTGGCAGAATATTTGTGTCTGGTTTCGAGTTCCGTGGGTTAGATCGTCCCTGTGAAAATAACATAGGACCTACTGAGGATAGAGATTTTAGTACAGCGTGCGAAAAATATTGTAAACCTTGAATCCATTTTCTGCTGTCAAAGGATATATATCTTTTACTAGTAATCGATGAGCTGAATGACAGAAAGAATTATGGTTAAACTTGTTGTGTTTCTGTTATATTTACTGCACACGAAGTATTGTACGAAGGATTACAAGACAGCATTTTTATAAGTGCCCTAATATGCGTGTATTTGCATTCTTGAGTGACTGTGTATATAAATTTTGAATACATTTACACAAACGACATACACACAAAAACCCACCCACCCCCACTTATGCACACAACGCTAAGAAGTTACATAAAACAAAAACATATTCACCGATATTCAGGCATGCCAAACACCTCACCTTCACCCCCACCCTATCCTACCCCACTCGACTCGACCTCACCCCACCCCACTCGACTCGACCTCACCCCACCCCACTCGACTCGACCTCACCCCACCCCACTCGACTCGACCTCACCCCACCCCACTCGACTCGACCTCACCCCACCCCACTCGACTCCTCGACCTCACCCCACCCCACTCGACCTCGACTCGGACCTCACCCGACTCGGGACCTCACCCCACCTCGACTCGACCTCACCCCACCCCACTCGACTCGACCTCACCCCACCCCACTCGACTCGACCTCACCCCACCCCACTCGACTCGACCTCACCCCACCCCACTCGACTCGACCTCACCCCACCCCACTCGACCTACACGCACGCCACTTCTTGAACACCTTCCTCGCACATCATAGCAGATTCTTATTGTCCAGCTCACTACAACACAGCCCATCCCTAGTGTCTATTAACCCACTTGACAAATACAAAAGAGTGGAATTGTAAACAGAATTCCCTCGTTACTGTGATCTACTTAAGGGGTATTTATTTACTCACAAGTAGAAGCCAGATATTACTAAGTGTCTAGAGGATTTTTGCCACAACTGTAATGACTGTTATTAAGTACCAAAGGAATAATTTAATAAGGCCGTATTGATAATTTTGACAGCAGTTATATCAAGAGCCATCAGATTACTGAGGGTAAGCCTATATATATAGCTAATTAGGCCTAAGTGTGTATCATTCAGCTTAGTTCATATATACCATACAGTATACACCCAAAAATATATTAATTTAAACTAATGAATATGACACAGACAGACAGACAGGCATGAGTGTTAGTGTGTATGTAAGTTCCCCATTCCCCACCTGTTACCGGGAAACCCAAGAATTACTGTACTATTGATCCTAGGCAGTACAAGTATTTACACACACACACCTCCCCCACCCCTCACTACCCGTCACTCATTCCCAACAGGTGACCAACACTTACTGTAACTCATTACCCGTCACTCACCTCAACTGCCAGATCACAATACCCGTCACTGGTGTTGCAGGTTACTCATATCACTCTCAGGTCAGAAATTCAGTTAGCTTTAGAATTGAATTGTCACTTATCTAATAATTTATAAGATGTCACTCATTTAGTAATTAAAAATAACCAATTCACCCTGTAGGAACTCAAAAGGATCTGTCACTTCAGGAAATTCCGTCACCCATCCAAGATCTGAGTCACTCATCTAGGATCCAGGAGTGGCGTCACTAATCCACAAAATCTTCACTTATCCAGGAACGGTCACTCAATCAAGAGTATACTTTCAATTACCCAGTGGATATGTCACTCACGAGAGACACATCCAGGAACACTGATACTGCTTTAAAATCTCACTCATTTATACTACAGCAGCGTTACTCAGCCACAAGCTACGTCACTCCAGGGTCACGACAATCACTCTGGGATTTCTCCACATACAGCTTGATTGATTGATACTACATAGTTTCATCTGGCGTCGTAAGAACATAGTCAAGTTTTCTATTTAATAATAAAATAAAACTATAGATTAAACACACACTTAGAATACAGTATTTAAAACTATATTTTAAACGTTATTAAACTATCTTATGTTTTTTTTCTGGAAGTCAGCTTCCATGATAAACAAAACTCCATCCTCTGGAAATGTGATACCTGCTCCCAGAACCAAGGACAGGCGGTAGAAACCATCCCCTCCCTTGACTCCAGGAGATGTGCCGCCAGACTGGGACACTCGACCAGTCATCACATACTGGCTGACAGTCTTGGGTCATCAGGTGGCCGTGTGTCAGCTTATAGTGGCCAATACGATGTCTGACCAGGGCTTTCTCACATCTCTGGGGCATCACACGACGGACTGCATTCATCATCAAGTAACTGTCGTTGGTTAAGCCAAGAGATACGTTACTTACTCTTGCCGACGACGCCGAAGCCAGTGTTCCGGAGGGACTCATTGGGGAGAGAATGGGTGGACGGGGACGGCAAGTCCCCTACCTTGCGACCCCGGGACACTCCGATGTCATATGATGACCGCCTGTAAAGAGCAAAATACTACATTAACCAACACCACTACACGGAAGACTTAAGGTGACAATGAGCTACACATGACCCCACCATTTTGTAAAAATTGAAGACGCCTGAAAACGTACCTATTAAATCCAGGGATGTACAGTACAGTACAGTACAGAATCTACAAAGTTTCATTGGGCTTTCTTTAATATTTGTACTTTGTATTGAAAAAATTCGCCTTTATTAAACAGAGACGTCTCTTCGAAATTGTTTGTCTAAGCTGATTTCTAATGCCCTTGATAGACTGTCTTACAAATAGAAAGGTTTCCCACACATTTACACGGACAAAGATGCCAAGTCATTCTGTCATGTTGTGGCCTTGACTGTGTGTGTGTGTTTAACAATATAGCTCCTTCAGGTCTTGAGTTATACTGCCAACAATCTTACAAGAATTTAGGTGACGCTGGTTACCCTCATCACGCAAACCTCGTCAGGGTAATTATAAATTCCACTACCCAACTTATATAAGGGATCATTACCATGAAACCCTCGAGTCACCCAAAACAGCACACATCTCAGACCTAACATACTGCAGTGTGTTGCGGCACCTACGTCATATACACCACATAGTCCTAACACAGACAAAACTGAAAACAGATCTTCACCCTGAAGGCAAAGTCAGTGAAAATTTGAAGACCTGAATGTTGTGTTAGTGGTAAGTGAGAACTCTTACGTCCAGGATATATCAACCTCGGCACGTGTTAAGGAACAGTTGAAAGTAAGTGTGTGTGTGTGTGTGTCCAGCACCTGTCAACAGTGTGTAAAAGAGCCCAGCCAGTAGGTTGACGGGAATAACACCGAAACGTTCTAAGATTCAGTTTTAGGGAAAGAATCTTGAAAACTGCCAGACGCCAAATACGACCACCCTACTGAGTTGCCACTTTATACTTAAAATATATCCAAAGTTCTGTATATACAGTAATAGGATTCCCGGTTTGGTGTACAAGCTGCCTCAACACAATACAATACCCAGTACCTTGAGTTAGCGAGATGTACTGCACCAACCAGCGTCAAGGAATAGCCCATGATATCCAGACAAGCTGCCAACCACAGTGGTTGACCTTTTCCGAGGAATATGGCCCGTAGCTCAATTAACACACACACCCACACACACTGCCAGGTAAACAGGGGGCAAATGACACGTAGAAACTTAACCATTGCTTCATCCTACTTAGGGATCGATCTCGGGTCATATGATTGATTGATTGATTGAAACATTTTATTTAGCTGGGCGAGGCGAGCTTGTTGACCACTGCACCATAAGGAACCACATCAAACACTTCTCAGTTTTAATACGTCATTAGTGGCTCCAGGTTCTTAAAGAACATTAAGTGGATGCAATAGTCTCAGGTGATTTACGGCGCCACTTAGGCCAACGTCTGCCAGTAGTGTGCGTGCGTCGAGCGTCAGACTTGTAATTTTACACGATTAAGATTTCGCTGAATATTGTACCTCACTGTCCTTGGCGCCTTAACTGGTGTACAAATGTGTTAGTCGCCTGCATCACTGTGTTACCTGAACAAGGAGGATACAGTAAACTTGCCACTCCCTGGGAATACACACCCAAAACGATGGGTGGAGTGGGGCCAGATTTACCTTTTGACCGTCTCACAGTCATCACTCCTGTAGATCTTTGTAAGGCTTTTAGAGGCGTAACCTTTACACTTAATACTCCTGTACGCTGATCACTGCACGTTTTACAACACAAAGGTTGATATATATTCTACATGCAGATACACACACACACACACACACAACAATGAAACACGCACACTGTTTACCTGGTCAGAACACACACACACACACAAAGGATAAAGCCGTGTTAGTGTAGGTCAGGAGAGGACAACAGGCTGTGTCACGCAGCCCAAAATGAAAAATTCACACAATGCTGCTCACAAGACCAGCTACTTATGATGTCGAAAAACCATAAAAAGTGTAGCGCCAATCATTAACTTCTCCTTCATGTATAAAACACCACAAGATCAAAGCCACAAACACATCGACAAAAAAATAAAAAAATACAACCTGGTAGAAAAGAAAGATTGGTGGAGCGACGGAAGAAGGTCACTTATCTGTGTCCAACTCACACTCTAGCTGTCTTCTTTATCACTCACCCCTGTGGCACTCTCGCTGTCTTCTTTATCACTCACCCCTGTGGCACTCTAGCTGTCTTCTTTATCACTCACCCCTGTGGCACTCTAGCTGTCTTCTTTATCACTCACCCCTGTGGCACTCTAGCTGTCCTTTTCACTCACCCCTGTGGCACTCTAGCTGTCTTCTTTATCACTCCACCCCCTGGCACTCTAGCTGTCTTCTTTATCACTCCCCTGTGGCACTCTAGCTGTCTTCTTTATCACTCACCCTGTGGCCTCTAGCTCTTCTTTATCACTCACCTGTGGCCTCAGCTGTCTTCTTTATCACTCACCCCTGTGGCACTCGCTGTCTTCTTTATCACTCACCCCTGTGGCACTCTGTGTCTTCTTTATCACTCCACCCTGTGGCCTCTAGCTGTCTTCTTTATCACTCACCTCTGTGGCACTCTCTGTCTTCTTTATCACTCACCCCTGTATGGCACTCGCTGTCTTCTTTATCACTCCCTGTGCTCTAGCTGTCTTCTTTATCACTCACCCCTGTGGCACTCTAGCTGTCTTCTTTATCACTCACCCTGTGGCACTCTCCTGTCTTCTTTATCACTCACCCCTGTGGCACTCTCCTGTCTTCTTCCTCCCCTGCACTCTAGCTGTCTTCTCCTCACCCCTGTGGCACTCTAGCTGTCTTCTTTATCACTCACCCCTTGCTCTCTCTGTCTTCTTTATCACTCCCCCTGTATCTAGCTGTTCTATCACTCACCTCTGTGGCACTCTCTGTCTTCTTTATCACTCACCCCTGTGGCACTCTCGCTGTCTTCTTTATCACTCACCCCTGTGGCACTCTAGCTGTCTTCTTTATCACTCCCCCTGTGGCACTCTAGCTGTCTTCTTTATCACTCCCCTGTGGCACTCTCGCTGTCTTCTTTATCACTCCCCTGTGGCACTCTCGCTGTCTTCTTTATCACTCACCCCTGTGGCACTCTAGCTGTCTTCTTATCACTCACCCCTGTGGCACTCTCTAGCTGTCTTTATCACTCCACCCCTGTGGCACTCTAGCTGTCTTTTATCACCACCCCTGTGGCACTCTAGCTGTCTTTATCACTCACCCCTGTGGCACTCTCTAGCTGTCTTCTTTATCACTCACCCCTGTGGCACTGCTGTCTTCTTTATCACTCACCCTGTGGCACTCTAGCTGTCTTCTTATCACTCCGGCACTCTAGCTGTCTTTATCACCACCCCTGTGGCACTCTAGCTGTCTTCTTTATCACTCACCCCTGTGGCACTCTAGCTGTCTTCTTTATCACTCACCCTGTGGCACTCTAGCTGTCTTCTTCACTCACCCCTGTGGCACTCTAGCTGTCTTTTATCACTCACCCTGTGGCACTCTAGCTGTCTTTATCACTCACCCTGTGGCACTCTCTGTCTTCTTTATCACTCACCCTGTGGCACTCTAGCTGTCTTCTTTATCACTCACCCCTGTGGCACCTCTAGCTGTCTTCTTTATCACTCACCCCTGTGGCACTCTAGCTGTCTTTATCACTCACCCTGTGGCACTCTAGCTGTCTTCTTTATCACTCACCCCTGCACTCTAGCTGTCTTCTTTATCACTCACCCCTGTGGCACTCTAGCTGTCTTCTTTATCACCACCCCTGTGGCACTCTAGCTGTCTTCTTTATCACTCACCCCTGTGGCACTCTAGCTGTCTTCTTTATCACTCACCCTGTGGCACTCTAGCTGTCTTCCTTTATCACTCACCCCTGTAGCACCCTAGCTGTCTTTACTCACCCCTGTGGCACTCTAGCTGTCTTTATCACCACCCCTGTGGCACTCTAGCTGTCTTTATCACTACCCTGTGGCACCTAGCTGTCTTCTTTATCATCACCCTGTGGCACTCTAGCTGTCTTTATCACTCACCCTGTGGCACTCTAGCTGTCTTCTTTATCACTCACCCCTGTGGCACTCTAGCTGTCTTCTTTATCACTCACCCCTGTGGCACTCTGCTCTTGGAATAATATAATCCCCCAAGTCCTTTATTAATCCTACTGTTATGACTGATTGACTGTAATACAGTACATCTGGTGGCATAAATTAGTTATGTTACGCCATATTCACTAAAAAAATATATTTATATTTAAAAATGACAAAATCACAGATAAAACACATACTTAACAACGATTAGAAGTGAATAAACCTGCATTTAAATAATAGCATATCTCCAGCTATAGGACGTCAAATAAGACTCCATTCTAAGGCTTGGATAGAGGAAATACACACACACACACACACACACACACACACACACACACACACACACACACACACACCGGTGAAAATACACTGCTCCGTGAAGTTACTGAGGCAAGACAACTCCCTTGGTTAAGTGGGTCACACGCCCCACTCTTCTGTGTTTGTCCTTCACGGCCATGTTACTCTCTTAAGGCAACCGTGTGTGTGTGTGTGTGTGTGTGTGTGTGTGTGTGTGTGTGTGTGTGTGTGTGAACAAAATCAGGAAAAGCAACAACTAACCAAGGAAACAAATAATGGAACACATTGATATATAAACTGGGGAGGAAGGGGTAGGGGAGGAGGAGAGAGGGGGTGAGGGAGGAGAAGAGAGGGAGGAAGGATAGGGGGAGGAAGAGAGAGGAGAGGAGAGGAGCGAGGGAGGAAAAGAATAAACAACAACCAAAATAAACCAAAACACAAAACCCCAAATAAACTCCCCAAATCCATAGACCAATAAGAATGAAAAAGTCGGACACAAAACCCGGGTCAAGAGCGGCCATAACTCCTTCCTCCATAGCAACAACAGGGCCTTAGGGAGTTGTTATATATGATCCTCTGTTAATTGCCCTAGCCTTATAGCCAGACTTAA